TCTCTCCTGCCCGGGCTGGCTTTGAACCTCGATCCTCAGATCTCAGCCTCCTGAGTAGCTAGGATTACAGGCGTGAGCCACCAGCGCCCGGCCCGTGAGACTCTTATCTCCAGTTAACCACCAGAAAACTGGAAGTGGCGCTGTGACTCAAGTGGTGAGCTGAAGATCCCAGGGACAGTGCCTAGGCCCAGAGTTCAAGACCCACCCACCGACTGACCAAAAAAAAAAAGAGAGAAAGAGGGGGGGCTCTATTTTCCTTTTTCTCCTGGTAGCCACCTGCTGGAGAGCAAGGCCGATGGTATCGAGGTGTCCTACAATGCCTGTGGAGTCCTCTCCCACATCATGTTTGATGGGCCCGAGGCCTGGGGTGTCTGTGAGCCCCAGAGGGAGGAGGTGGAAGAGCGCATGTGGGCAGCCATCCAGAGCTGGGACACCAACTCCCGCAGGAACATTAACTACAGGTAGGGGTGGGGCGGGCAGGGCATAGCTCTCCTCCCTTCTGCTCCAGCTCCACTTTTCCCCTGGTCCCACTCTTGTCCTGTCTGTCCTCACTGACGCACAGCCACGTGGCAGACAGTACACACGACAGAGAGGTCTTTTATTTCTCACTAGCATCTGCCTGTGCCCAAGGCTTGGCATTTACAAATCCTTGGCACATGTTTATCTATGGGAAATACAAAGGAGAAAGTAAGAACCAGAGGAAACAACATAGAACTGAGCTACGACAGCGCCCCCTGAGGGAGCCCTGTGCACTGGGGGTGCCCCATCAGGAGTTGTCAGCCCTTGCTGTGCTGCGCTTGCTTCGCCATCACCAGGCCCTGGTCTCCCTCCCCTTCTGTGACTGTGCTATCCCCTACATCTCCTTATGTAGCCCCTGCTAGCCTCAGCTTTCAGTCCTCCTGCCTCAGCCTCCTGAAGGCTGGGATTCCAGGCATACACCACCACCGCCAGCCATGGATGGTTGTTGAAGTTTAACTCACTTGGGAGAATTGGGTCTAGGCGGCTGTGTGGAGGATACCAGGACTGTAGTCCCTGAGCAAAAGAAAGCAGAATCACTGGCTCCCAGGGGTTTTGGTTCTTTTGTCTTTTCATTGTTGGGCCTTATATATGCTAGCCCAGGAGGTTTCGCTTGTCCACTTTTTGGGTGTTTGGTCCAGGCTGGCTCAAGTATGGCTACTGTTGGTGGTGGTCACTCTTCCTCTGCTCCCCACCCCCTGGCCTGGCCTGGCCTCTTTACTGGTGCTCCAGTCTGCACTCCTTCTGCCTCCATTATCTGCTCTGGCTCCCAAGGAAGTTCCTGGTGGAAGCCACATGGGGTTGGGCAAAAGACCAGCTGCCGTGGGCCCTGGCCTCCTCAGCTTGCTCATGTTTGTCCTTAGGACCCTTCAGGGAGTAAAAAGACTTAACTCTCCAATTCCCAGAGTCCAAAGTGATCTTGCCTTCTCTCCCTGCAGGTCATTTGAGCCAATTCTCCGCCTCCTTCCCCAGGGCATCTCTGCTGTCAGCCAGCACTGGGCCACCTGGGCCCTGTATAACCTCGTATCTGTCTACCGTGAGTGCCTACCATAGTTCATACAACATGCCTCTGGCAGCCTCATCCAGGAGGGGGCCTCTGCAAGCGGCAGGTCAGCATGGGCCTCAAACAAAGCCCTCCCCAGGAAGGCCTGGGCCTTGCCAGTCCCATCACAGCCCCACCCATATGGAGCTCCAGCCTGCCTTCTGATGCTTCCTGCCCCCATAAGAGTCAGCAGCAGCTGGGCGCTCACTGGTGGCTCATGCCTGTAATCCTAGCTAGTACAGTGTTTGCCTTGCGTGCCCTCTTACGGGAGGCTGAGATCTGAGGATTGCAGTTCAAAGCCAGCCGGGGCAGGAAAATCTGTGAGACATCTCCAATTTAGCACCAAAAAGCCAGAAGTGGCACTGTGGCTCAAGTGGTAGAGCACTCACCTTGAGCTGAAGAGCTGAGGAACAGCACCCAGGTTCAGAGTTCAAGCCCCAGGGCTAAAAAAAAAACACAGCAATACCTCCCTGTCATCATCTAGCCTCACTGCTCACCAGAATCACCCAGTGGTATTGTATTAACAACACAATAAATACAAGCAAGCTGGGCACAATTTTACATGTCTGTAATCCCAACATTGGAGATACTAAAGTAGAAAGATGGAGAGTTCCAGGCCAGCCTGGGCTACATAATAAGACCCTGTCTCAGTAAATGAGTTCATACCCACATCCACAAGTGCACGCCCAGGATCTGGTGACCAGTATCCAGGGAAAATATCTCATAAGATCACTATGCGGGCTGGGAAGGTGGCTCAGTGGTAGAGTGCTTACCTTGCATGCATGAGGCCCTGGGTTCAATTCCTCAGCACCACATAAACAGAAAAGGCCAGACGTGATGCTGTGGCTCAGGCTCCACAACCAGAAAAAAAAAAGAAAAAAGAAAGATTACAGGTATAAGCCACCAGCACCTGGCAAAATGGCATATCTTTGATCCTCAGTTAAGGATGTTTTTCCCCAAGGGCTTGTCCTTATTCCCTTTGGTAGACACAGGAGCACACACTCTATCTGGGCAGATGCTCCTAGCCACAGGCTTTCATTCAGGCATCCCCTTTAGGATAGTCCTTGAGGTGAGGGTGGGTTTCTGGGACAGAGGCTAGTGGAAAACCTCCCCTCCCCATATCATGAGCTGTCTGCTCTTACCCACAGCTGACAAGTACTGCCCCCTGCTGATCAAAGAAGGTGGGGTGCCTCTTCTGAGAGACATGATCAAGATGGCGACCGCCCGACAGGAAACCAAGGAGATGGCTCGGTAAGAGACAGCTGTGGTTTTTGCTGGGTGCCTTGCTATAAGGAACAAAGGAACAAAGTGGGCCATGGTTTCCAGAGTTCCCAATGGCCCACTCAGAGTTGAGCACAGACATGTCCTGTGGAAGCCTCTCTGTGTGTCATTTCTGCCATAATACCTCAGGCACTGGATGAACTGAATTGGAGCATCAGTGGCCTCAGCTGTGAGCTTGGTTCTCTGTCATTACCAATAGACTCCATGCTCATCATAGAGCATGAGCAGATCAGGTCAGAGTTCTTTGTTATTTTTGGCCAAAGACATCTCAAGAAGACCAGGTGGGTGTACATGTATCTTCTAGAAATCAGCTGAAGTGGAATGTGAGGAATTTCTCTTTAAGTATAAATGTGAAGGTCTTGGGAAAAAAGGAAAAAAAAATCCTTTGTTGGCTGGGATATAGTTCAATAGCACAAAAAGAAGAAAGTCTGGTACTGGTGGCTCATCCTGTAATTGTAGCTACTCAAAAGGCTGAGATCTAAGAATCATTGTTCAAAGCCAGCCCAGGCAGGAAACTCCATGCAACTCTCTCTCTTTTTTTTTTTTTTTTGTCGGTCGTGGGGCTTGAACTCTGGGCTTGGGCGCTGTCCCTCAGCTCTTCAGCTCAAGGCGAGCGTTCTACCACTTGAGCTACAGCGCCACTTCCGGTTTTCTGGTGGTTTATTGGAGATAGGAGTCTCACGGTCTTGTCTCTCCTGCCTGGGCTGGCTTTGAACCTCGATCCTCAGATCTCAGCCTCCTGAGTAGCTAGGATTACAGGCGTGAGCCACCAGCGCCCAGCCATGCAACTCTTATCTCCCATTAACCACCAGGAAAATGAAAGTGGCACTGTGGCTCAAAGTGATAGAGTGTTAGCTTTGAGCAAAAGACCTCAGGGACAGCACCCAGGCCCTGACTTCAAGCCAGAAGACCATTAGAAAAGAAAGAAGAAAAATATCATTATGAAAGTCATAGATATGCTAGAGTCTTCTGACTTTTGTGTGTGTGCCTATCCTAGGTCTTGAACTCAGGCCGGAGCACTGTCACTGAGCTTTTTTGCATAAGTCTAGCACTCTTAATATTTGAGCCACAGCTCCACTTCCAGCTTTTTTGGTAATTTATGAGGGATAAGAGTCTCAGAGACTTTCTTGCCTGAGCTGACTTTGAATTGCAATCCTAAGAGCTCAACCTCCTGAGTGGCTAGATTTAGTTATGAGCCACCAGCACTTGCCTCTGCCTTTTTTTTTCTTTTCTTTTTTTTTGTCCTGGGGCTTGAACTCTGGCCCTGGGCACTGTCCCTCAGTTCTTCAGCTCAACACAAGCACCCTACCACTTGAGCCACAGTGCCACTTCTGGTTTTCTGGTAGTTTATTGGAGATGAGAGTTTCACGGCCTTTCCTGCTTGGGCTGGCTTTGAACTGTGTCCTCAGATCTCAGCCTCCTGAGTAGCTAGGATTCAGCTTCTGCCTTTGGTTTTTGAGTGTGAATCATTGTTAGGTCTAAAATACTTCTCTGCTTCCCCCATGAGTGATTACACAAATGGGCTTAGAGAGCCGGGCACCCACTGGTACTTCATGCCTGTAATCCTATTCAGGAGGCTGAGAGCTGAAGATTGTGGTTCAAAGTCAGCTGGGGCATGAAAGTCTGTTAGACTCTTTATCTCCAATTAACCACAAAAAGCTGGAAATGAAGCTATGGCTCAAGTGGTAGAGCACCAGCCTTGATCACAAAAAGTTCATGGACAGTGCCCAGGGCCTGAGTTCTAGCCTTAGGACCAGAAAAAGAAAAAAAAAAGGAAGGAAGAAAAAGAAAAGGAAGGACGAGGGATGTCACATGTCATAATCAGCAGTGGCAACCTTCCTTCCAACAGGATCCATTCCAGAACATTGTAGGGGTTAGGATAGTCACCTTTGCCTATCAACTTTGGTCCTAAATATGAACATAATGTGACGTTCATCTAGACTAGGGCCCTGGAGCATAGCCATTCCCCAGGCAGTGATGGTGTTTTGGGGTAGAAGCAGTGGCTGGTTCTGCCCTTACTTTGGGTGAAAGGTACATTTAAACATTGAGGATGGGCTGGGTAGGTGACTCAGTGGTAGAGCGCTTGCCTTGCATGCATCAGGCCCTAGGTTCGATTCCCCAGCACCACATAAAAAAAAAGAAAAAAAGCCAGAAGTGGCGCTGTGGCTCAAGTGGTAGAGCGCTAGCCTTGAGCTGAAGAGCTGAGGGACAGCGTCCAGGCCCAGAGTTTAGGCCCCTCGACCAGACCAAAAAAAAAAAAAAAAATCTCCAGGGCTGCTGGGAGGAGGAAGATATGTGGGCAGGGGAAATAAAGGGTGGCATTGTTTAAGGAAAGGGTTTGGAAGGTCAGGCCTTGGGGTGCCCTGTCCACAGGTGCACTGTGTGTGTGTGTGTGAGGGGCTAGCAGGGGTCGGGAGGAAGGAAGGAGAGGTACTGCTTCCTGGGTGCTCTGCCAGCCACTGCACTCACTCAGTGCAGGACAGATGCTCTACCGCTGAGCCAGCCCTCCACATCACTATTTATTTTAGTGGTACTGAGATTTAAACTCAGTGCCTTGTACTTTCTAGGCAAGTGCTCCACCACTGAGCCATGCCTTCAAGCTCAGCATCACTCTTCCCCCATCCCCTCCCCCCAGTCTTGGGACTTGAAATCTGAGCCTTAGCACTGCCCCTGAGCTGCTTTTTGCTCAAAACTAGCATCTGCCACTTGAGCCATAGCATCACTTCCCAGCTTTTTCTTAGTAGTTTATTGGAGATAAAAACCTCACGAAGTGGGCTGGGAAGGTGGCTCAGTGGTAGAGCACTTGCCTTGCATGCATGAGACACTGGGTTCAATTCCTCGGCACCACATAAGCAGAAAAAGCCAGAAATGGCGCTGTGGTTCAAGTGGTAGAGCACTAGTCTTAAGCTGAAGAGCTAAGGTACAGAGCCCAGGCCCAGAGTTCAGGCCCCCTCCCCACCCCATCCCAACCCCCCCAAAAAAAGCCTCACGGGCTTTCCTGCCCAAGCTTGCTGCAAACTTCAATCCTCAGATCTCAGCCTCCTGAGTAGGATTACAGGCATGAACCACTGCCACCCAGCTTTTTTGTGTGTTTGCCAGTCTTAGGGCTTGAACTTAAGAGCCTTGGCATTGTCCTGAGCTTTTTTTGCTCCAGTCTGGTATTCTACCACTTGAGCCACAGCTCCACTTCTGGCTTATTTTTTGGGTGTTTAACTTAAGATACAAGTCTCACCAACTTTTCTGCCTGATCTGGCTTCAAATGGTAATCCTCAGATCTCAGTCTACTGAGTAGGTTGGGTTACAGGTGTGGACTACCAGGGCCCAGCCAGGATCACTCCTACCTTTTGTCACCCAGTTCTACTGGTCCCTAGGAGGAGTAAGCTCAGCCCAGCGCTGCCTCAGCCCTCTCTCTCTCCCCTTATTGTCTCCAGCAAGGTGACTGAGCAGTGCAGTAACTTTAGAGAGGAGAACATGGACACGTCCAGATAGAGGCCTTCGCCATGGCTACCACTGTTCGGACCACAGGCCGAGAAGAAGCACTTGTGTGGCCCAGTGGGCAGGCGCCTTCCAGAGCCTCCCATGGGACAAGGAGACAGAGGGGACTTTTGCACAAGCAACGCTTTTCCTTAACATTAGTGAGATATATATATTATATATATATATATTATTTTTGTTGTTAGGCAGTGTGAAGTTTTGTGTGTATGATTTCTGTACAAAAGCAACCTCCTGAGCCCCACAGCTTCGTTGGCCATTCTCCAGGCAGCCCTGGCCTTCACCACTGCCATCCCTCCCAGCGCCCCTTTCACACCGCCATTCTCCACCCGGCCCGGCCTTCACCTCTGCCGCCCACTCCAGCCACACTAAACGCCTCTGGATGTCTGGTCCCTCCCAGTGAGCGCAGACCCTGGCCACCCTTCCCAGGGCCTCGCCAGCACTTGTGCCACCTGCCCACACCTGAGGTACTCATCTGGGCTCCTGGGGGCGACTGATAGGATTTGGGGATTCAAACGAACCCCTGCTGGGTCTCCCAGAAGCCTCGGTGCTCTGGGCTATGGGCCACCTAAGGCAGGAGAGCAACCTGGAGGCCCCGGGCGGAGTGGCCTGCTGCTCTCTGGCCAGGCCTGCCTGCGGCCATGCTGCTATAGAGGCTGTCTCCCAGCCTCCCTCAGGCCCTAGGCTGTTGAAGGCCCAGCCCAGGGGTGGTCAGAAGTCAGGGGCAGATTCAGTTGCCCCTCTGCCAAACACCCAGGACCTGTCCCCAGCTCCGGAAGCCAGCACCTCCCAGGGCCTGGAGCTGCTTCCTCCGCCAACCCTCAGCTGCCCACAGCGTCCAAAGTGCTCATCCTCTCCCACCAGCACAACTTCACCTGCCTCACCAGCCCGGGTGCACCCCGCTGCCCAGAGGACCCCACAGCTCTTGAGGCAGCCACCTCCAGACCAGCACCTGGACAGCCCTCCCTGCCCCTTACCGTCCCCGTTGTCCCAGGAAGCCGCTGGGCCTCGGGCCTGTGCTGTACAGCGGACACTGGAGGAAGCTGTGTGTAGTGTCTGGAGCCCCTCCCTGCTGCTGCAGCTCCATGTGGCCTCCCGCGCGGGACCCTGATGAGGAGCCCCTGGCCGAGGCAGCCCCTGATGGCCACCGTGGGGCTCTCTCCTCCCATTTCCTTCCCTGGCCTGGTTTTGAATTCTGTCACTCCTGCCTCCAGAACAGGCCAGATTAGCAGGGCTCTGCGACACCAGGGGCCCTTCCTCCAGAAACCTCTCCCTTGGGCTGGGCAGGAAGCCTAGCCCTGTGCTCCCCAAGGGCAGACACCACCCCCCTTCCTGACCCAGGCCCTTCTGCCCAGCCAGACCCCGGCAGAGCTCACATCGCTCACATCGCATTGCTTCACCGTCTGGGGCCCAGGGAAATGTCTGTACTTTGGGATGTCACAGAAATACATTTTTGTGCAAAGTGCAGAAGAGCAGAGTGTCGTTTTTGGGGAGCGGAGGGGTGGCGGCTGTGGGCAGGCTTGCTGGAGAGGGGAGGGGGGGCCACTGGGGCCACAGACGAGCTCTTCAGTGTTCTCTTCACACCTCTGACCAGACAGCTCAGAGCTGGCCAGCAGACCAACGGGGCCCTGCTGACACCTTGTCTGATGGAGGAGGCAACGAGGGAGTGAGGGTTCCTCCTGCAGGCCACTCGGAGTGGACAGGGGTCAGGGAGGAGGGTGGAACACGAGGGTCACATGGTGAAGGGTCCAGCTCCAGCAACACCCAGGCTAGCCTGGGCTTATCCCTGCATGCTCGTGTGGCCGACCTGTGCCCTCAGGGCCTCCGTGGAAGCACCTGCCCACGGGGCCTGGAATTGTAGGCCAGGTCACCAGGACCACACCACTTTCCTGGAACCTGAGCATTCTTACCTCATCCCCTCACCCCCTCCTTTCTTCCTAAGCAGAACCTGGACCAGGTGGGCCTTCCTAGGAGGCTCTTCCTACAGTGCTCAAGCAGCCAGTCTGCTGCATCAAGAAAGAAGGGCTGGGGTCGGGGAGGGGCGGTAATGTACCCATACAACTCATCCTCAAAGATGGAATTCCTAAGTTCTGCCAGCTAACACCCACAGCTGGCCTGACCGCCCAGCGCTTGGCATTTTTGTCTGCTAACCACCATCCCCCCTCCTCCCTCATTCTACCTTTTTTTTTTTCTTTTCTTTTCTTGTACTTAATTTGAACTCAGAGCTTCTAACTTGCCAGACGGGTACTCAGCTACTTGAGCCACACCTCAGCCCCTTTTTGCTTTGTTTTCCAAAAATAGGGTCTTACAGTTGTGCTTAGGCTAGCGTGTACCACAATTTACATCTCTAAGCTCCCGGTGTGGTTGGGCTGACAGGTGCGCACCGCCAGGGGTGGACACAGCTTCTTACTGAGAGGGGAGGAGATCTCACTTTTTACCTGAGTTGGCCTTGAGCCACTTTCCTCCTGATGGCCTCCTGAGTAACTGGGATTACAGGCAGGAGCCACGTGCCTGGCTCGCTCTACCTCATAAACATTTGGTCACAGCTGCACGGAGCTGAGTTGGTTCAGTGACTCGGTAGGATCCCAGACGGCGTGGCTCACGCCACCATCCAAAAGCAAGCAGGTGACGACGCCTTCCCCGGGCAACCTCTGGCAGGCCTGGCCCCTGGGGCCCGCCACCGCGTCGCCTCAATGGGCGCAGTTCCAGTTAGGCACCAACCCCCAGAGCCACGGCCCTGGGAGCGCCGTGGAGGATGTGCGCGTGCGCGGACGGCGGGAGCGGAGCCCTTGGGGGCGGGGCGTAGGGGGCGCGGGGGAGGGAGTGGGTCTCCCGCTCCTCAAAGTTACCTGGCTGGAGTGGGGCGGGCGGGGCGGGGCGGGAGGGGGGGGAGTGTCGGTGGAGTTACCGGCTGCGCGCGCGCCAGCCCCGCCCTCAGCCTCCTCAGGCACCTGTTGGCTTGAGGGCCCACTCGGTCGCGGCTGCCATCCAATAGGCTGCCGGCATGACCCTCTCAGGCTCCGCCCACCTCCCTGTCAGCCAATCACCAGACCGACACGCCCCCTCTTCTCCTGAGGGACCGCCCCCTCTGGCCGCTTCTTCCGGGTGGGGCCCGGGGCGGAGGCGATGGCGCCCTGGGCGCTCCTCAGCCCTGGGGTCCTGGTGCGGACCGGGCACACCGTGCTGACCTGGGGTATCACGCTGGTGCTCTTCCTGCACGACACCGGTGAGCCGGACCCACCCGATCCCGCGTGATTCCCTGCACACTGGCGGCTCACTGCCCTCCCGGCCCCGCTCAGAGATGTTGGGGTTCTCCCACCTGGCCAGCTTCCAAGAGCCCTCCCTGGCCCTCAGCCCGGCGCCACCTGCTTTCCGCCCCGTACCCACTGCCCTCCTGCCACTACCCCGCTCCTGACCGGTGCCCACCAAACCCAAGGGCGGCCGCGCGCCCCCCACCCCCGCTTCTTACCCTGGCCCTGGACCCACCCCGTAGTTTCCAGGAATTGACTCCGAACCTCTCCGTGCAAGATCGGGAGGACCTCTGGCACCGTGCCACACCCTCGGCCGCCGGGGGCCGGGCTCCCATCCTGGCCGGACAGCACCCAGGATGGGGGCAGCGACTTCCCGTAGTCTCGTAGTTGTGGCAATCATTTCCCACCCCCCTCCACTGCCACGCCCTTACTCAGGGCAGCCCCCACCCCAGTGGTCCAGCCTCTACCTGCCAGCAAGCCAGGACGCTATCCAAACCCACCTCTGTTCTTGGCTCCCTTTTCCAACTAAGGGCAAGAGACTTGGCCACTCTGCTGTCTGGCACCTGAATCTTCAGTCACTCCCACAAGGAGTAACCCTGCCAGGAGCCCTTGGGCCCCTCTGCAGCATAGGTCCCAGCCTCTAGGTCTCAGTTTTAACACCGGCCCTATCTCTGCCCATCCAGAGGCCAGAGACTCAGGAGCACTTAATTCCTCACCCTATACCCAGCAGGTCTGCCCCATTCACATGTGCCTACCTTCCTGTTCCCTTCCTCCTCTCCCCCTGACTGCCAGGCCTTATTCAGCCACTTTGCTGCCCAGCCCTGTGCTTCTGTGGTGCCCAGCCCAGCCTCACTGCCCTTCTTTGGTCTCTCCAGAGCTGCGGCAGTGGGAAGAGCAAGGGGAGCTGCTCCTGCCCCTCACCTTCCTGCTGCTGGTGCTGGGCTCCCTGCTGCTCTACCTGGCTGTGTCACTCATGGACCCTGGCTATGTGAACACTCAGCCCCAGCCACAGGTAACAAGGGTCCCCTGAGGACTTGAACCCCTCCCCTGGGCCACAGGGTCCCAAGGCCCCAGCAACAGATCCCATGCCAGACCACAGGCTTTGATGGGGGCAGCTCAGTGAGTCCCCTGCCAGCCTTAGACCCCTAACCTACAACAAGGAAATCACCAAGGCCCAGTGACAGAAAGTGACTCACTAAGGCCATACCGCTTTGCTCATTGCAGGGCAGGCACTCTGACCCACTCACACCTCCATTCTATACGGAATGGGCCCAAACCCTCCATACTCAGCATACAGCTAATGCTGGCCCCCAAGGGAGGTGCCCACTGCTGCCATGTGCTTCACAGAGGGGTCCCACTTATGCTCTATCTCTGATTTCCAGGAGGAGCCCAAGGAGGAACAGACAGCCATGGTTCCTCCAGCCATCCCTCTTCGGCGCTGCAGATACTGCCTGGTGCTGGTGGGTGAAAGAGGGACACCCCCTCCCCCCAACATGGGCTGGGCCAGGATGAAGTTGAGATCTCCCTGGCCCATCTCTCCTCCAAGAAAGGCAGGGTGCCAGTGGCTCGCGCCTGTAATCCCAGCTACTCAGGAGGCTGAGATCGGAGGATCCCAGTTCAAAGCCAGCCTGGGCAGGAAAGTCCATGAGATTCTTATCTCCTAATAACCACCAGAAAACTGGAAGTGGAACTGTGGCTCAAGTGGTAGAGCGCTTGCCTTGAGCAGAAGAGCTCATGGACAGCGCCCAAGCCCAGAGTTCAAGCCCCATGGCTATAATGTTCTATAACTTTAGCTTCTCAGGAGACCCAAAATTGGTCCTCTACTACCTGGCCCTAGAACCAGGGACAGGTGATCAAAAACACCCAGGACTCCCATTTAGTTGTCCAATTGCTAAATAAACCCAGGCAGGGAAGCCCTAAAGCTACCTCCTGGCCCACTCACCCCCTTTTCTCTAGTGCCAGTTCCACAAGCAGCCAGTTAGCCTTTCACATGTAAACCTCAGCCCAGTGGTGGGCCGCTGGTGGCTCACATCTGTAATCCTAGCTATTCAGGAGGCTGGGATCTGAGGCTCAGGAATTTGAAGCCAGCCTAGGCAGGCAAGAGATTTGCAACTCCAATTAAGCAACCAAAACGCCAAACAGCGGCTTCAGCCCCTGCCCGTGGAGGGCTCACAGGACTTCCCTCCTCACCCACAGCAGCCCCTGCGGGCCCGGCACTGCCGTGACTGCCGCCGCTGCGTCCGTCGTTACGACCACCACTGCCCCTGGATGGAGAACTGCGTGGGGGAGCGCAACCACCCGCTCTTCGTGGCCTACCTGGCCCTGCAGCTGGTGGTGCTCCTGTGGGGCCTGTACCTGGCATGGTAGGTACCACCGCACGTGGGGCATGAGGGAGGGTGGGCAGCACACACCCTCAGGTCTGAACAGAGCCCGGGTCCCCATCCCCGTGCTGCAGGTCCGGCCTCCGGTTCTTCCAGCCCTGGGGACTGTGGCTGCGGTCTAGTGGGCTCCTCTTCGCCACCTTCTTGCTGCTATCTCTCTTTTCCCTGGTGGCCGGCCTGCTCCTGGCCTCGCACCTCTACCTGGTGGCCAGCAACACGACCACCTGGGAGTTCATCTCCTCCCACCGTATCGCCTACCTCCGCCAGCGGCCCAACAATCCTTTCGATCGTGGCCTGACCCGAAACCTGGCCCACTTCTTCTGCGGCTGGCCCTCGGGCCCCTGGGAGACCCTCTGGGCTGAGGAGGAGGAGGAGGAAGGCAAGAGCCAGGCCGTCTAGGGTCACTGGAGATAGGGCTGCCAGCCTGTGCCGGGAACATGAGGCTGAGTGAGCCCGGCTCGGCCTGGGCTCTGGGCTCCCACACACTCCTCCCAGGCCTCAGCACACCTTGGGGGGGGCTCTGCCTTCCCTGGGGAAGATGGAGAGAAATGGGGCCTGGGGCAGCTCCAGCACAAATGGACCCCAGACTCTCTCCCAGCCCTCAGCTGGGCTTCTTTCAGTGCTAAATAATTCTACACATTTAATATTCCATAAAGTCAAGTATTAAAAAAGACAAAACCATCCACTCCTTGCCATGGCGCCCTTTCTGGTGCAGGCCTCGCCCCGAGGCAGAGAAGGGGTGGACGGGAGGGGATGGGACATATTTTTTGCCTGGTAACACTGAGAAAAAGCTCCTGAAGTCGGTCTGTGGTCATCTCCATGGCGCCCTCACCTCCAAGCCGTAGGAGGTGATCAATATTGGGGCCCAGTAGTGGTTCCCCATGCTGCACAGGCTGATGAACATCGGGGCCAGGCAAGTGTGCAAGCGGGCGAGCGAGGTGCCAGGAGAGCCTCAGGGCTCCAAGAATCGCTCCGACACAAAGTCAAAGTCCCGGAAGGCGGCCTGTTGACGGGCTGTGAGGGGGTTTCGGGGGGCAGGGGGGGTTAGGGCCGGCGGCAGTCCGGTGAATTCACCTTCAAAGTAGCGCAGGTCTGCAGGGCCACAGAGCGTAGGCACAAAGGGGGGCTGGGCGGTGCGGGTGAGCAGGGCCTGCCAGTCCACAGCCTGAGGACAAGGAGAGAGGAGGCGGAGATGGTAGAGCAGCAGCCCTGGCCTGGGGCTGGGCACTGGGAACTGCAGGACCCCGGGCACTCACCCGGAAGAACGGCTGAACCTTGATCTCCTCGGCGTCCAGCTCCCCTGCCCCCAGGCGCTTCTCTGGACACTTCTGGAGGAGCTGGCAGAGGACAGGTACAAACTTGGGGTACTCTACCGCTGGCTTTGAGAGGCACCCCGACTGAGCTGTGCTGGAGAGCACTAAAGGGGTGACAGGGCACACAAGCCCCTGATGGCCCCTGCAGGGACCTACCTTCTGAATGAGCTCGAGTCCTTGCACGGACAGAAAGTGGGGGTACGGGGCATCGGCATTGACAATACACTCAAACACCTCCTCTTCCGTGTCTCCTGGGAAAGGGCACTGTAGAGACGGTGGGTCCCCGCGATGCACGTGCCACGCACACCCCACCCGAAGCCCGGCCGCCAGCGCCTGCTCTCACCTCGCCCACCAGCATCTCGTAGAGCAGCACGCCCAGCCCCCACCAGTCCACAGCCCGCGTGTAGGCCTCCTGGGTCAGCACCTCAGGTGCCAGAAACTCCGGGGTGCCACAGAAGGTGCTCGTCCGGTCCCCAAAGCCAATCCCTGCAAGGTAACATCCACACCAATCAATGCTCCTGGGTGTGACTCATTCACCTGGTGTCCCGGGCCCTGACAATCCAGGGCAGGCGGGGAGTGGCTCCGAGCTCAGCTTGCCTGGTATGCCTGCGTTAAGCCCTGAGATGAATCCTAGCACCAAAGGCTGGGAAGGTGGCTCAGGGGTAGAGCACTTGCCTTACATGCTCGAGGCCCTGGGTTTGATTCCTCAGCACCACATAAGAAAAATGCCAGAAGTGGTGCTGTGGCTCAAGTGGTAGAGTGCTAGCCTTGGGCTGAAGAGCTGAGGGACAGCACCCAGGCCTAGAGTTCAGGCCCCACCACCGGACCCAAAATAAATAAATAAAACAGCCAGGCACTGGTGGCTCACGCCTGTAAACCTAGCTACTCAGGAGGCTGAGATCTGAGGATCAAGGTTCGAAGCCAGCCCAGGCAGGAAACTCTGTGAGACTCTTCTTATCTCCCATAAACTATGCAAAAAAAAAAAAAAAAAAGCCAGAGGTAGCACTGTGTCTCAGTGGTAGAGGGCAATACTTGAGCACAAAGATGCTCAGGGACAGAGTCTATGCTCTGAGTTCAAGCCCCCTCACCAGCAAATAAATAATAAAACAGGAGCTGGTGTTTCAAATGTGCCATCCTAGCTACCCAGCAGGGTGAGATCTGAGAACCAAGGTTCAAAGCTAGCCCAGGGAGGAAAGCACCTGGCTAGTCAGTGAGACTTTTATCTCCAATAAACTACTAAAAAGCCAGAAGTGGAGCCGTGGCTCAAGTAGTAAAGCACTAGCCTTGAGGGAAAAAAAAAAAAAAAGCCAGGGTCAGTGCCCAGGCCCCAAGTTCCAGCCCAAGGACCAGGACAAAAATAAAAAATAGCCAGGCGCCAGTGGCTCACGCCTGTTATCCTAACTCAGGAGGCTGAGATCTGAGGATCAAGGTTCAAAGCCAGCCCAGGCAGGAAAGTCCATGAGACTCTTATCTCCGATGAACCACCAGAAAACCGGAAGTGGTGCTGTGGCTCAAATAGTAGAGTGCTAGTCTTGAGCAAGAGCTAGAGAGCAATACCGTGCCAAGCCCTGCCCTACCCCCTACAAGGTGAGTACAGTCAGTGTCACAGAGTCTCACTGAACTCATGCCAAGGTGACCCAGAAGACAGGACCAATGCTGTCTCCAGCCCTTCCTCAGACCAGCTACAGGCTAGAAAGGAGGAGTCAGTGCTCCCAACTTGTACCCCCAGCGTGAGGGCCAAACTGGGGGCCCCAGGGCATCATTGGTGGGGGGGGGGATTTCCTGCTGGCCTGGACAAAGCTAAAAGATGTGGCCCCACCTTCTTTACAGAGCCCAAAGTCCGCGATCTTCAGGAAGCCCTGGGCATCAAGCAGGAGATTATCCAACTTCAGGTCCCTGGGGGCAAGGGGACAGATCAGGAGGGCTGAGGAGAGCCAGGTTAGAGCCGACTCTAGAGGGCAGCCTGGGAGGAGGGCGGTGTCCATCCCTTGATCCACCCTGCACGGCCCCAGCACTTCTGGGGCCAAAGCTACCTGTAAATGATCTTCTGCTCATGGAGGAACTGCAGCCCCAGGACCACACAGGCCAGGTAGAAGCTAGAGGTGGGACAAGGGAAAACTCAGGGGCAGCCAGCGCCCAGGGAGGCTCCAGGGGTCTGGGTGAGAAGCTGGCTGGGAAGGCCACAGGGGTTAGCCCGAGGTTGTGCATACTCGCTCCACTAGGGTGCTGCTGCTATGGCAGAGCCTGGGGCGAGCATGGCGCACACCCCGTCCTTCCGGCTCCCTCCCAATCCCCTGCAGATCCCACTCCTCCCACCTCAAATCAGTACGTGAGACCCTAGGTAAGGAGTCACAAACCCAGGGCTGGGTTGGAAGTGCCCAGTCAGGCCTTCCTAACTCCCGAGGCAGCCCTGGAGGGCAGACTTTAAATCCAATTGCTGTTCTCACCCTAGGAGGCTAGCAGACATTACTCATCCCTACAGCAATCCTATCAGCTCAGGCCACAGGCAGAATAGAGGCCCAGGATCCACACCCTCCATCAGTTAAGCACTGGCCTCAAGGACCTCACCTCAGGCCAGGGAAGCAGGAAGTCTGCTGCAGGAGGGTGGGGTGAAGGAACTCACCAGGCCTGGGGCTCAGGAAAGACGTCCTCATGGATATGCATCATGAGGTCGCCCCCAGGCACAAACTCGGTCACGAAGCAGGCGTGGCTGGAAGTCTGGAAGCAGGCTAGGAGGGAGAGCAGGAAGGGGTGCCCGGCGCGCCCCACAGCCTCTAGGATCCGCTTCTCACAGTACAGACTAGCAGGGAAGGGCTGAGTCTTAGAATGGAGGACAGCCAGACGGTAGAGGTTTTCCATGGCTGGCACCACACAGCACCCATGACCGATGGGGACCTGGACATGGTGGTGCACACCTGGAACCCCCAGGCCAGCTCCCAGGTTAACAAAACACAAACAAAAGGGCTGGAGGCTTTGGCTCAAGTGGTAGAACACCTACCTAGCACACTTAAATTGTGAGTTAAACAAACAAACAAACAAACAAACAAAACCCCCTAGCTTCTCCAGAGATTGAGGCCAGAGGATGGTTGTTTAAGGCTTAAGGCTGACTTTGGCCAAGTACCTGTGGCTCACACCGCCGTTAATCCTAACTATTCAGGAGGCTGAGATATAAAGATCAAGATTCAAAGCCAGCCAGGTAGACAATTCCATGAGATTATTTCCAATGAACCAGCAAAAAGTCAGTACTGGAGGCATGGCTCAAGTGGTAGAGTACTCGCCTAGCTCTTGAATAAGGGCCTTGAGTTTAATCTATAGTACCTAAAATAGATATTTTTTAAAAAACGTACAAGGGGGCTGGGAAGGTGACTCAGTGGTAGAGCGCTTGCTTTTGCATGAATGAGGCCTTGGGTTCAATTTCTCAGCACCACATAAGCAAAAAGAAAAAAGCCAGAAGTGGCATTGTGGCTCAAGTGGTAGAGAGCTAGCCTTAAGCAGAAGAGCTAAGGGACAACGCCCAGGCCCAGAGTTCAGGCCCCATGACTGGACCCAAAAAAAAAAACAAAAAAAAAATGCACAAGGGCTGGGAAGGTGGCTCAGTGGTAGAGCACTTGCCTTGCATGCATAAGGCCCTGGGTTCGATTGCTCAGCAACACATAAGCAGAAAAAGCCAGAGGTGATGTGGCTCAAGTGGTAGAGTGCTAGCCTTGAGCTGAAGAGCTGAGGGACAGCGCCCAGGCCCAAAGTTCAGGCCCCATGACCGACAAAAAAAAAAAGGACTGAGGGCATGGCTCAAGTGCAAAGACCTTCCCTAGTAATTGCATGACCCTGGGGTTAAGTTTCCAGGACCACAACAAAGAGAAACAAAGTGAAAAGTGCTGTTTCCATATCCGGGGTTCACAGAATTGTGATAACCACCCTGGCCCCATTGAGAGAGGCGCAAAGTGAGGCAAGGCGGGAACAGAGGGCCTGGTCACGGCCGGCCAGCGGCACGCAGACCACACAGCGGGTAACAACACGAGAACCCAGGCCTGACTGGCCCCTGAACCGCGCTGTGGAGGCCAGGGCAGCCTCTGGGGCCAGGGCCGGAGTCCAGAGCACACCCACGCTGGCCGCCGCTCTCACCTCTCTACCTCGTCCCGGCTCAGCACCTCCTGCTTCTTCAGGGCCTTGATAGCACAGTACCTCCCCGTCCCCTTGAACTGGACCAGGAGGACCTGGGCACCAGATAGAAGGGGGGTGTAAGGGCAGGCCGAGCTGCCTAACTTCCCACACACTCCCCTGACTCCAGCTAACATGGCGGGGGGAGGGGATTGCCCATCTTTTTCCACAGAACCTTCCCGAAGTGTCCTTGACCCAGCACAGCCAAACAGCGGAAGTCCTGAAGCCCAGGGGCTTTCCTGAAAGAGAAAAAGGAGATGACCCGCCACGTAGCTCAGGTGCTGGTGGCTCATGCCTGGAATCCTAGCTACTCAAGAGGCTGAGAGCTGAGGATCATGGATAGAAGTCAGCTTGGGGGCCGGGCGCTGGTGGCTCACGCCTGTAATCCTAGCTACTCAGGAGGCTGAGATCTGAGGGTCGCGGTCCAAAGCCAGCCCGGGCAGGAGAGACCGTGAGACTCCTATCTCCAATAAACCACCAGAAAACCGGAAGTGGTGCTGTAGCTCAAGTGGTAGAATGCTCGCCTGGAGCTGAAGAGCTGAGGGACAGCGCCCAGGCCCAGAGTTCAAGCCCCACGACCGACAAAAAAAAAAAAAAAAGAAGTCAGCTTGGGGCTGGGAGCCAGTGGCTCACTCCTGTAATCCTAGCTACTCCGGAGACTGAGATCTGAGGATGGTGGTTCAAAGCCAACCTAGGCAGGAAAGTCCATGAAACTCTTATCTTCAATAAACCACTCAGAAAATCAGAAGTGGCTCTTTGGCTCAAGTAGTAGAGCGCAGGGACAGCGCCCAGGCCCAGAGTTCGAGCCCCACAACTGACAAAAAAAAAGTCAGTTTGGGCAGGAAAGTCTATGAGACTCTTATCTCCAATTAATCACCAAAAAGTGGAGGCATGGAACACCATTCTTGAGAGAAAAACCCTAAATGAGCGTGTGAGGCACTGAGTTCGAGGCCCTGTGCTGGCACACATGCACAGAAAAGCAGCCATGAGGGACCAGGTCTGGCGTCTGCCTGAGCGGCCTGATGCTCGCTGGGCTGTCCACATGGCAGAGTTTTCAGCGACTCCCTGAAGTTTGCATACAGCTGGAGCTCAATAATGGGCTCAAAGTTAGGAAGCAGAGTGATTCAGCCACTGACCACCCCGAGGAGTCAGGGCAGGAGGAGGGGACTGACGCACACACACCCGTGTCTGACATGAGTTACCTGGTGGGCGCAGCGGAGGCTGGGACAGTAGCCAGTCCAGCTCGAGGCTCCATGTGGGGGCGCTTGGTACACTGCGAAGGCAGAGGGTTCAGGGTGGGGCAGGCTGCCTCTCCTCTTCACCTCATGGCCACCCCCAGACCCAGTAGCTCTGGGGTTGACCGGTACCCCCGGCCTCACCGGGGTCTCCTCTGGGGCTGATTCCTGGGGCAGGAAGAGGCGTGGGGGCTTGGGTGGGGGCTTGACCTCTTCTCTCAGGGGGCTCTTCTTGGGCAGGAAGTGACTGTGGAAGGAAGCAGACCTGTGGGTAGCCACGCCCAGGAGGAAGAAACAGTGGCGGGATAGACAATCACTGCGCCAAAGAAAGAGTGCAGTCACCAGGGTGTGGTGGCTCACGCCTGTAATCCTAGCTACTCAGGAGACTGAGATCTAAGGATCGAGGTTCAAAGCCAGAGGTTCAAAGCCAGCCCGGGCTGGAAAGTTGGTGAGACTCTTATCTCCAATAAATCACCAGAAAACTAGACGTGGTATACCGTGGCTCAAGTGGTAGAGCGCTCACCTTGAGCTGAAGAGCTGAGGGACAGCGCCCAGGCCCAGAGTTCAAGCCCCATGATTGGCCAAAAAAAAAAAGAAAAGAAATTGTGCGGTCTAGGGGAGGGGGTTCCTTACCTGGGGGAAGCACGATGGGAGGCCCCTTGGGGTGCAGTGGCGGTCTGCAGACCTCCTTTGGGGGGGCTGATGGTGCTGGGAGAACTACAGGGGGGCAGCAGACTCATGACCAAGCGCCCCCAGGCCGCCATGCTGAGGTTCATCTGAGAAGCCCTCAAGAAGTCCTGGCCTGGAGGAGAGTGGGCTCAGTCCCAGTACCCCGAGAGTCCCAGCCCCTCCACACACAGCCCCCCACCTTCCATACCTCTGCGTTTGGAGAAAATACGCTTCTGTCTCTGCAGCCTAGGCCGCTTCTCAATGACAGGGTCGCAGAAGGTCACCTTCAAGGGCACAGGCAGGGCGGGAGACAGTCCAGCTGCCACAGCCCCACCCCACGACCCCAGCCCCAACACCACCAGCAGGTTCAAGACAGCTGACCTCCCACCCTCATTTGTGCAACGGGGAAACTGAGGCCAGAGAAAAAGGATCATGCGTGAGGTGGGACAGACTCGGGGACAGGGCTGCAGGCCTCAAAGCAGCCTCATACACGGCCCTGGAAACCCGTCTCTGGGCCTCATTTCCATACTTAGGGGCTGGCCAGCACCTGTGTGAAGACGCGTCCCCGCGGCACCAGGCTGAGGGACAGCTGGTGGCACGCGTTGTCCAGGAAGTCCTCCAGCCGCAGGAAGGCCACGCCGCACAGCTGCCGCCAGTCCCGCCAGCGCACCCCGATCTCCAGCTCCCGGGCCTGCAAAGCAGAGGTAGGCCGGGCAGAGGGTGGGGTCCAGCAGCTCCCCACACCGCGAGGCTTCTGGTTCAGCCCGTCCCGAGCACAGGAAGGCCAGCCTCACTCGCTCCAGGGGAACCACGAAGGCCTGGTCCCAGCACCGTGCAGACGCCAGCCCCCAGCCTGTCTGGCCCACCACGCGGTTGTCCACTTTCAACACAGCAAGCACCTCATCTGTCGGGCCAGAGCTGGGGTTCAGAGCCGGCCCAGAGAGCAGGGGGAGTGGGGGGGGGGGATAGGTGGTCCCTGCTGCTTCCCGATGGCTCCTTCCTTACTCACTGCTTAGCTCACCACTGCCACCTCCACGCTGCTGCTTGGCCCTGCTTCGGAGCCAGCCTTCAGAGGCGCTGGTGGCCAACGCAGCCACAGGAGAACGCCCCGGCACCGAGGTCAGCAGCTGCTCACAACCCAGGAGCCGCACCTGCAGGGTCCCTGGTGGAGGGCGAGAGGGGGACCTGGTCAGATGCCTCCTCCCCATGTACCCTGGGCCCCTCTCCAGAGGGCACACCAAGTGGTTCTCTCCTGCCTGCGCATCACACATTCACTGTGGATGCAGGCTTCAGCTCTCAGACCCACTTGGTCAGAGATTGCTCAGGCCTCCGGAGAGCAATGGGGCAGGTAAGAGCTCAGGGCAGTTGGAAGCCTAGCTTCCGCCCCAGCCTGGCCGGCTTACTGCCTAGGCCCATCTCCCATCTGACCCAGAGAAGTGGGCCACCGCTGGTCCCCTCCCACCTCAACGGATACAAAATGTATTTTTTTGCATCTTTGTTTGTGGTGGGGCTTGAACTCTGGGCCTGGGCGCTGTCCCTCAGCTCTTCAGCTCAAGGCGAGCGCTCTACCACTTGAGCTACAGCGCCACTTCCGGTTTTCTGGTGGTTTATTGGAGATAGGAGTCTCATGGTCTTTTCTGCCCGGGCTGGCTTTGAACCGCGATCCTCAGATCTCAGCCTCCTGAGTAGCTAGGATTACAGGCGTGAGCCACCAGTGCCCAGCATGGCCTTTTTATTTTTGTGCCAGTACTGAGGCTTGAACTCAGGGCTTCAGTCTCTCACTTGGCTTTTTTCACTCAAGCCTGGCACCCTATTATTTGTGCTAAAACTGTAGTTCCTGCTTTTTGGTGGTTAATTGAGGGTAAGCGGTTCAGGGATTACTCTCTTGCCTGCCTAATTCCAGAGGAATTAGGATTACAGTCCAGTGGGCTCATCTTTAGGGTCACAAAGGAAAGAGGAAGCAAACGCAGTGCTGGTGGCTCACACCTGTAATCCTAGTTACTCAAGAAACTGAGATCTAAGAACCACAATGCAAAGCCCAGCCCAGGCTGGAAAGTCATTGAGACTCTTATCTCCAGTTAACTATCAGAAAACCGGAAGTGGCATTGTGGCTCAAGTGGTAGAGTGCTCACCTTAAGCTGAAGAGCTGAGGGACAGCGCTCAGGCCCAGAGTTCAAGCCCTACAACTGACAAAAAAAAAAAAAAAAGGGCTGGGAAGGTGGCTCAGTGGTAGAGCGCTTGGCTTGCATGCTTGAAGCCCTGGGTTCGATTCCTTAGCACCACATAAGCAAAAAGAAAAAAGCTGGAAGTGGCACTGTGGCTCAAGTGGTAGAGCACTAGCCTTGAGCTGAAGAGCTGAGGGACAGCGCCCAGGCCCAGAGTTCAGGCCCCACAATCAGATCAAAAACACACACACACACACACACACACACACACACACACACACACGCACAAAAGGTGTGTGTGGGGGAAGCAATGGGAATTTAGCAACTGTGGAGAACTGAAACTGGGCGCAGAGCACCATTTTGGAAGGTGGGCATAGAGAGAGGCCTTGGAGATAAATGCTCAGACCCAGATGGGATCTGCATCTTAGAAAGAATTTTTCTTTTTTTTTTTCTGGTCACTCATGGGGCTTGAACTTTGGGCCTGAGCGCTGTCCCTCAGCTCTTCAGCTCAAGGTGTGCACTCTACCACTTGAGCCACAGCACCACTTCCAGTTTTCTGGCTTTAAACTGTGATCCTCAGCCCACAGCCTCCTGAGTAGCCTAGGATTACAGGTGTGAGCCATTGGTGCCGGGCAGAAAGAACAACTTTTTTTTTTTTGGGGCCTGAACTCTGGGCCTGGGCGCTGTCCCTCAGCTCTTCAGCTCAAGGCTAGCACTCTACCACTTGAGCCACAGCACCACTTCCGGCTTTTTTTTTTCTTATGTGGTGCTGAGGAATCGAACTCAGGGCCTCGAGCATGCAAGGCAAGTGCTCTACCACTGAGCCACCTTCCCAGCCCCAGAAAGAACTTCTTAAAGAAGCTGTTCCCTCTCCTTCCCCAACTTGTCTACTTGGCTGTAGATACTTTATAAAGCCCTTCAAGACCAAGCTCCTACAGTACCTACTCCAGGAACCGCTCCCTGACGGCTGGGGCTGAGTAGAGCGCCTCACCCAGCGCTTGCGCTCGCCCTCCTCTGCTCTTGGCACACAGAATGGGTTCCATCTGGCCCGGCACCCAGGCCCTTCGCTCCCCGCAGCAGACAGCCGCTGCCTTTAGCGTGACCCAGCGCTCAGCTTATTGGTTAATTACCAGTCAAGTTGTAGTACATAAAAGGAAGGGAGGAAGGGAGGGAGGGAGAAGAAGGAAGAGGAGGGAGGGAGAAAGAAAGGAAAGAAAGGTGGGAGGAAAGAGGAGGAAGGAAACGTTCTAATAGTCTAGGCTACCCATGATGGGTCCAGGGGCCCCAGGCTGGGTTCCTCACCCTGGTCTGACTGCCAGGCACTGTGTTTAGTGCTGGCCCTGCATTGAGCCTCAGACCTTCCACAGCAATCCTATGAGGTGCAGCCATTATCATCCCATTTTCCGGATGGATACACTGCGACTTAGAGAAGGTATATCAGTTGCCCAGGGTCACACAGCTAGGGGGGGGGGGAGAACTCTTGCCCAGAGTGCTCTAGGGTCCTCCTCAAAATCCAAGGTCACCCCTGTCTGTAGTGGGAGGGGGCCAGGCTTACCTGTGAGGGCGGTGGGTTTCACGGGCGTCCCCGCGGGCCTGGGGTGCCTCAGGGTGGCTGTCCTCAGCTCTTGGGCCACAGCGCTGCGCAGAGGGTGGACCGCAGGGAGGGCCTGCACCAGCTGCTCCAAGGCCAAGCGCAGAAGGTCCAGTTTCTGGGAAGATTCCTGGAGCTGGACCTGGGCCTGTGGAGGGGATGCAGGCGGGGACAGGCCTTGGAGGGCGGGTGGGAGCCGGCAGCTGCCCCCGCTCACCGCAGAGGAAACAGCAGACCCCAGGGAAGAGCAGCAGGGGGAGGGGGTCCGGTCTGACCTCCGCCAGGGCCTTGCGGCCCTGCACGCTCCGGCTGCTGGACAGCTTCACCACGTTCTTGGCCCCCTCGGCCACGGCTGCCTCGATGCGCAATCGGTGCCGCAGCTCCTCTGCCAACAGCTCGGGGCCTGCGGGGAGGAGAGTCGCCGTCGGCCCCCGGCCCCCGGCCCGCTAACCCGCCACCCCAAGACCTGCTCACCTGGCTCCGGGGGCACGCCGGCTTCCAGGGCGCTCACCTTCATCCGCAGCAGGGCCACCTTGAGCTGGCCGTCCTGCAGCATCTGCTGGGCGGCTGCCAGGAGCGTCCTCTCCTGCGCGGATGGCACCCAGGTCCTAGCCCCCCGGAGCTCGGCCCCAGCTTCCCCTCCCGCACGCAAACCTCCCCGGCTCTTCTGAATACCTAGTCTAGCCAGGGAGACTCTGATCTCCAAGAAAACACCAGAAAACCAGAAGGGGCGCTGTAGCTCAAGTGGTAGAGCGCTCACCTTGAGCTGAAGAGCTGAGGGACAGCACCCAGGCCCAGAGTTCAAGTCCCACAACCGACAAAATACAATAAAATGAAATAATAGAGGCTTCGAGCCTCCTCCGTCAGACCCAGGGTCTTTCCTATCAGACAAATGCTGTGCCAGGAGCTCCAGCTCAGCTGCCAGCTGGGCGGGGATTCCACAGCCACCTGGACGGAGTTTGGGGCTGCCGTACTCCATTAGACTAAAGGCTGAGGCTTGTAGCTCCCTTACACAGTCAATGTCTGGATTGTATTTCCCTGTCAGAATAAGGAACTGGAAAGCCAGGGGCCGGGGGCTCACGCCTGTCATCCTAACCACTCAGGCGTCTGGGATCTGAGGATCGCGGTTCACAGCCAGCCCATGTAGGAAAGTGCATGAGACTTCCTATCTCCAATTAATCACCAAAAAGCTGCAAGTGGGGGTATGGCTCAAGTGGTGGAGCCCTAGCCTTGAGTAGAGAAAGCTAAAGGATAGTTCCCAGGCTCTGAGTTCAAGCCCCAGTACCAGAACTGGGGCTGGAACTAAACTTCCCTAAACATTGAGAGCCATGTCTCTCCCATCAGACCCTAGGGACCTTACCTTGGGGGTGCCACGGGCACAGGTGTGGATCATGTTCTCGGCCCCCTGCTTTACCTTCAGCTCCACCTGCAGCTGCCTCCGCAGGAGCTCCAGGTGCCGAGCCCGCGCCTGTTCCGTCCCTGACCAGGATCCCGAGGCTGCAGGCTCTGGGGCAGAGCATGAGGCCTGTGAACCTCGCAGCCCACCTAAAGCCCCCTATCCCCAAACTCTCCCCGCCACAGCCCCCTGGTGACAGGAACAGGGGCTGTGGGAGGCGGTGAGGCAGGTGCACCAGGGTCAAAGCCCAGGTACAGGGCAGCCAGGGTGTGCTGAGAGACTCCCCCCTCACCGGCTGGGCCCGGCAGCTGGACCCGGGCGTGCAGGTCCTGCAGCTCGCCATGCAGCTGCTCCAGCCGGCGGTTGGAGGAACGCAGCAGCTGCTGGACGCGGCCCAGATGGCGGCGGTCTGTGGCCACTCGCCGAAGGTTCTCCACACCCTCCTTGATTTTCAGCTCCTTTTGGATGGCCCGGCGGAGGGCCTCTTTCTCATCCTGAAGGGGCCGCTGGGCAGGTCCAGGCTGCAGAAGGGCAGAGGGGCGTCAGGGCCCACAGTCCTCCCCAGCGAAGGTGAGTGGAGCACCAGGCCGCCATGCTCAGGCCTTGGAGCATCTCTCCCAACAACGTAGATACTTGCTCAGTATCTTCCTCCAGGCCTCTCGTGCGCGTGTGTGCGTGTAAAATATGAGGACTTGAAATCAGGGCCTCAAGCCAAGTGCTGGTGGCTTCCACCTGTAATCCTAGCTACTTAGGAGGCTGAGGTCCGAGGATCACAGCCCAAAGCCAGCTTAGGCAGAATAGTGTATGAGACTTTTTTTTTTTTGGCCAGTCCTGGGGCTTGACATCAGGACCTGGGTGCTGTCCCTGAGCTTCTTTTGCTCAAGGCTGGTACTCTACCACTTGAGCCACAGCGCCACTTCTGGCTTTTTCTGAGTATGTGGTACTGAGGAATCGAACCCAGGGCTTCATGAGTGCTAGGCAAGCACTCTACCACTGAGCCACATTCCCAGCCCCATGAGACTATTATCTCTAATTAACCACCAGAAAACTGAGTTCAAGACCCACGACCACCACCACTAACAACAACAAAAAGAAATCAGGCCCTCACACTCTAACTTGGCTTTTTCACCCAAGGCTGGCACTCTACCCCTTGTCCCTGAGCTCTTCAGCTCAAGGCTAGTGCTCTACCACTTGAGCCACAGCGCCACTTCTAGTTTTCTGGTGGTTCATTGAAGACAAGAGCCTCACAGACTTTCCTGTCCAGGCTGGCTTTGAACCGCAATCCTCAAACCTCAGCCTCCGGAGTAGCTAGCATTACAGGTGTGAGTAACCAGTGCCTGGCATGTCTGAAAGGTTTTTTTTCCCCAATTAACCAGCAGAGAAAGTTGGGCTGGTGGTATGGCTCAATGAAAAAATCTGAGTTAGAGTGAGAAACCCTGACTTCAAAATCAGGTATTGATAACTAAATAGCAAAAAGGGAGGCTGGAAGTGTGGCTCAAGTAGTAGAGCACCATCTATGCAAATGTGAGGCCCTGAGTTCAAGTCCTTGCACAACCCCCTAAATAAAATAAAAAAGAAGATGGGTGCAGGTGCCTCATGCCTATAATCCTACTCTGGCAGATGAGCATTGTGGCTCAAAGCCAGCCTGGGCAGGAAAGCCAGTCTCAGGAAAGTCTGAGACTCTGTCTCCAAATAACCACCAAAAACCAAAAGTGGAATTGTGGCTCAAGTAATAAAGCATTATGCTTTAGTAAAAAAGCTATGGGACAGTGCCCAGGCCCTGAGTTCAAGTCCCAAGACTGGCACAAAAATAAATTAACAAATAGAAGGAATTGCGAGATGTGATGGTTCACGCCTGTCATCCTAGCTACTCAGGAGGCTGAGATCTTAGGATCAAGGTTCAAAGCCAGCCCAGGGAGGAAAGTCTGTAAGACTCTCCAATGAACCACCAGAAAACCAGAAGTGGTGCTGTGGCTCAAGTGGTAGAGCGCTAGCCTTGAGCTGAAGAGCTGAGGGACAGCGCCCAGGCCCAGAGTTCAGGCCCACGACCAGGCCCCCCCCACAGGAAAAAAAAAAAAAAACCCAGTTGTGTGGCAAGTTATCACTGTTCCACATCACAGGTTTAAGAAGCAATCTTGTGTGTGCCAGACTCTTCCTGATTCCCAATTGTTCAAAATCAAACAACCAAAAAACTTCTGCATACAGGCCTATAGACCCAGCCACTCAGGAGGCTTGGCTGGGAGGACAGCTTGAAGCCGGGAGTTCAAGACCAAGCTGAGACCAATGCCAAAGAAAGCTTGTACATCGATGCTATGCAAGCTGCACACGGTAAGCTGTAGTAGTGACTGCCTATAACACCTGTACCATGAGGCTCCTCACCACCCACTGTATCATTGAAATCCAAACCAAGTTAACAGTTCTCTATAAAACAAGGAGAATGACCCCAGTCCAAAAAAAAATCTTTATGTTCCTTTATTGGAGCAAGATTCCTGACCGGTATACAATGATGTATTTACTAAACAGAGACCTGTGCAGAAATTACATACTAATCCATCTTGACAGGTTTTGGTTACACTTTTGCCTATAGGTGGAATAGTTCCATTTGTAAGATTTTATACATCACAAAGCTTCCACGCTGTCCATGAATTCACCTTCCCATCCTGCTGGCGAGCGCGATGCCCGGGCCAGCCGTCGGGGGGTGCGGCCCCGTGGCCCTGCCACGCCTGGCCCTGCCCGTGGCGCGCTGGGCCTCCTCCACGGCCCCCTCCTCCCGTTGGAAGTCGGGGTGGGTGTCCGACGGGCTCCGGCCCAGCCCGGGGCGCCCCTGACCCCTTTAGATAATGTGTACGCGCCAAAGACAGCAAGCCGGGCGTCGATGGCTCCCGCCTGTGATCCTAGCTCCTCAGGAAGCTGAGATCTGAGGATGGCGGTTCGAAGTCAGCCTGGGAGAAGACTCCATGAGACACCTGATCAGCCGTCTGCCTACTTTGAGCATATTTTCTCCTATCTGCAGAGGTGCGAGGCAATGGCTACCACATCCAGCTCCCCTCTTCCCTGAAGGGAGTCGTGAGCTCGTGCCAGGACTGGCTCGGAACCCTGATCTTCCAGTCTGTGGACTCCAAGTAACTAGGCTCACGGCTGTGACCTACTGAAGACCAGCTGAAATCCGTTTTTTTGTTTGTTTTTTTTTTTCTGTCCCTTTTTTTTTCTGTCCCTGAACTTCTGTGCTTGAGGATGGTGCTCTGCCACTTGAACAGCCCCACTTTCAGCTTTTTGGTAGTTGACTGGAGATAAGAATCTCATGGACTGGGCTGGGAAGGTGGCTCAGTGGATGAGCGCTTGCCTTGCATGCCTGAGGCCCTGAGTTCGATTCCTCAGCACCACATAAGCAAAACGAAAAAAGCCGGAAGTGGTGTTGTGGCTCAAGTGGTAGAGCGCTAGCCTTGAGCTGAAGAGCTGAGGGACAGCGCCCAGGCCCAGAGTTCGGGCCCCACGACCGGCCCCCCCCCAAAAAAAAATCTTACGGACTTTCCTGACCAGGCTGGCTTCAAACCCTGATCCTCAGATCTTAGCCTCCTGAATAGCTAGGATTACAGGAGCGAGCCACGCAGCTATATTTTCCCCCCTTGAGGTTTCCTCACAAGAAGGGAAAGGGGTTCAGAGGTAGAATCCATTCATTTGCCTCAACAGGGGAAAGCTGTGCACACACGCTGACACACAAGTGAACCTTGTGTGTGTTGACTGTCTTCAATGAGAGTGTCAGAAAAACAGATGCTCACATCCCTGGCATAACCTAGAGTCCAAATGGTTCTCCCACTAAGTGGCCTCTAACACTACATGAGCAGTGAACCTGAACAGAAGCCCGAGACTTCCTACAAGTCAAAAACGCGTTCTGCCTACACCACTTTTGACCTCAGGGTCTCTGGATAGAATACACAATGTCACCCCCTAATCCAGTTAACACACCCCTTCCACTAGGAAAGTCCTTGCTTGTTATTCTTGTTTTAATCATCAAACTGCAACCCTGATAAACTTGTATGTCTTCATAAACACAGCCACATAATCTAAAGGGAACACTGCTGGGTGGAGTACTGACTTGAATAACTGCGTGGGCACGGTGGCTCAAGCCTGTAATTGCAGCTACTGGGAAGGTGAAGATGGGGTTCAGATCTGAAGCCAGTGCTGGCAAAGCGTCTAAGACTATCTCAACCAATGAATGGGTGAGGTGGCATTTCTTCCACCTCCAGGGGAGGCACTAGAGCTGGGGACAATAGTGTGCACCTGTTCTTGCCAGCCACGTGGATCACAGCCCAGACATAGATGTCGCCAGGTGCTGGGAGGCTCCTACCTGTAACCCTAGCTATTCAAGAGGCTGAGATCTGAGGATCAGTTGAAAGTCAGCCCAGGCAGGGAAGTCTAATGACTATTTCCAATAACTACCAAAAAAGCCAAAAGCCTAGCTATGGCTCAAGTGAGAGATCAGGGACCATGGCCAGGTTGACTCCAAGTCCTGGGGGGGAAAAAAAAGAGGGAGGGGGAAGAGGAGCTCTACCACTTGGACCCACACTTGCAGCGGTCTTGATTTTTCAGATAGGGTCCTTCCAATCATGATCTTGATGGCACAGGTGCATACTCCAACCAGCCGGCTGGTTGAGATGGGGCCTGGGCCTTATTAACTTCTGCCCAGGTGTAACAGTGCTTCTCCAGCCAATTTGAGGATTACAGCTATGTCTTTATACCTAGTTATCTTTTAAAATGTAGACCTTGTTTGGCTCCAGTGGCTCAAGGTCTATAATCCTGCTAGCGGGGGAGGGAGAGCAGTTATTCAGGTCAGGTAACAATCTTCTCTAAATCATGATCTAAAACACTTTAAAGGTCTTGAAACTACAGCTACAGTACGGAACGCAGAGGATGGATCAGCTTTGAGAAAGCCATCACCTTCCAAGCGAAGCAACCTAGGTATCTTCTTTTGATTGCAATTCCCAAGGCAGCCCAGGATCCCTCCCACATCCAGGCACAGAACTCAGTAGCTAGATCCTATCACTCTGCTTCCATATTGCCTCTGTAAGACCTGGAAGTAAACAGTCACCTACAACTAACAATACCCAGGAACGAGCTATTTCCTTAAAGGACCTCTGAACTTGACACCACCTGAAACCAAATACTTGAGCATGGTAGTTATGTCTATGGTCCCAGCAAAACAGGAGGTTGAGGGCCAGGAGCTCAAATTTGTCTGAGCAAGATGCCTCACCTCCAAAAAAAGGAATACTACAGGTGACAAACAGGACTAAAATTATACACAAGAAAGCCCCAGTTGTAAGGCTGGGATGGTGGCTCAGTGGTAGAGCGCTTGCCTTGCATGCATGAGGCCCTGGATTCGATTCCCCAGCACCACATAAGCAAAGAGGAAAAAAGCCAGAAGTGGCGCTGTGGCTCAAGTGGTAGAATGCTAGCCTTGAGCTGAAGAGCTGAGGGACAGCAACCCAGGCCCAGAGTTCAGGCCCACGACCAGGCCCCCCCCACAGGAAAAAAAAAAAAAAACCCAGTTGTGTGGCAAGTTATCACTGTTCCACATCACAGGTTTAAGAAGCAATCTTGTGTGTGCCAGACTCTTCCTGATTCCCAATTGTTCAAAATCAAACAACCAAAAAACTTCTGCATACAGGCCTATAGACCCAGCCACTCAGGAGGCTTGGCTGGGAGGACAGCTTGAAGCCGGGAGTTCAAGACCAAGCTGAGACCAATGCCAAAGAAAGCTTGTACATCGATGCTATGCAAGCTGCACACGGTAAGCTGTAGTAGTGACTGCCTATAACACCTGTACCATGAGGCTCCTCACCACCCACTGTATCATTGAAATCCAAACCAAGTTAACAGTTCTCTATAAAACAAGGAGAATGACCCCAGTCCAAAAAAAAATCTTTATGTTCCTTTATTGGAGCAAGATTCCTGACCGGTATACAATGATGTATTTACTAAACAGAGACCTGTGCAGAAATTACATACTAATCCATCTTGACAGGTTTTGGTTACACTTTTGCCTATAGGTGGAATAGTTCCATTTGTAAGATTTTATACATCACAAAGCTTCCACGCTGTCCATGAATTCACCTCTGAGAAAGTGGCGTTTAATTTCAGCTCTATTTTACAGCATTAAAAAGCTTATGCATTTGGCAGCTTCTCTGTGATGCACAGGGCAGTTCTTCCACCCAGATCCAGTCACATTTGAACCTTAGGTTAGACACCTGGGACTTTAGACCAATAGACACTCAAAAAGGCCCATTTTTTTTTTTAAAAAGGCCAAGATAAAAATCAAGGGTAGAAGTCAGAACTCTCAATTTTGAGGTTCTAGTTGTCTCAAACGACATGATTAACGACAGCAATGGTTCCCAGTTATGGAGACATTAAGACATTAATTCAAATCCCTTTATTCTCGATCCATACAGCCCTGAGGTCATCCTGCAAAGTGCGTATCAAAAAATACGAAGTCAGGGGACAGTTTGACAGTGACGTTATTATACAAGTCAAACTCGGAAGGTCAGATCAACTATGTCCATTCTGAGAGAAAAGCATCAAACCCTTTGTGTACACATTTAGTTTTATTGTAACAAAGCAACTTGTACACTTTTAACGTTTAAAACTCAGCATCATCTTTCCTTTCCAGTGAAAACAAAAGAAAATTTAAAAATAAATGAACAAAATTACAATAGAGAATGTCAATTCCAAATAAGATCCTACAGGGTCTGCTGATTCTCCTGTAGTGCCAGGGCTCAAGTCATCATTAGGAGAGTTTTTTTTTTTAAGTGTCATCTTAAACTGCAAGGATGTCCGTTAAACATCACAATTACACATGCCAAAGGAGAAGCCATGTTGTCAAAATGCCCACTTAACCCACCCAAACATCTCAAACCCACCCTTTGCTGACCTTCTAGAACCCCATTTTTTTTAAGTTTTTTCTTTTTTTTTAAACAAGAGAAAGTAGACAGATACATGTTGGTAATGCTAACTGTCCGTATTCACATAGACACAGTGTAATCTCTGAGCCCAATATACAGAGAAAGGAGGAGAAAAGCTAGAATCTATGCACTACTACACAGGGCCTGGTGCCTCCAGCAGAGCAGAGCAACCGGAGGCTTTTCTTGTTTCCCACAGAGCAGGTGGCGGTGGTGGTGTTGATTCCGTACAGTTTTTGTTGAGACAGAAAGGGATAAAAATGAATTTAGAACAGAGGTGTGTGGAGATTCTTTTCCCGTTGTATTCTGAGCAAGGTAATCCCCCCCAAATAAGTTGAGAACCATGGTGTTTTGAGAAAAGAGACCTCAAGAACAGGGCAACTGAGCACAGAGGGGGAGAAGACTGCAACTTGCTCCCAGGGACTGGAGAAAATTAAGGAAAAAAAAAAAAGTTGGAATCCATCAGTGTTTTCTATTAGTCATCTTCTCCTTCATCCTCCTGAAAGAAAAAGAAGGCAGTTAATTGCCAAGGCTGATAAAATCCTACTGTCACACCTTAGCTTCTGTATGGACCACAATGAACCCACAGTAATGGCAGGTGTGGGCCAGCTACCTATTATTTACATCAAATCAACCAACACAGCCCGAGATACTATTTCAGATAAATTAGTATTACTAATCAGTGAGTGAATTTCATACCAAACAATCCAAAACGCTCACATTAAGGAGAAATAGGAGGCCCTGTTTTAGCTAACTCAGGATGCTGAGATCTGAGAATCATGGATCAAAGCCAGCATAAGCAGAAAAGTTCCCATGAGACTCCTATCTCCAAGTAATAACCAGAAAACTAAAAATGGAACTGTGGCTCAAAGGGAGAGTGCTAGACTTGAGCAAAAGAGCTCAGGGTCCTGAGTTTAAAAAAAAAAAAAAAAGACCCTAAAACAAAAAGGAATTAGGAGCATGGCTCAAGTGCCTGGATAGCTCAAAGACGGGAGAAGCTCAGAGCCCACAACTGAAAAAAGGTGAGGGAGAGAAATAAAGTCCAGCAGTTCATCCAAAGCACAGTAAGCTCTGTGATTTAGAAAGTACTGTTGAACTTAATCAACGATATTACTTTTTCTTTGCCAGTCCTAGGGCTTGAACTCAGGGCTTGGGCACTGTCCCTGAATTTCTTTTGCTCAAGGCTAGCACTCTAGGCCTTTAAGCCACAGTGCCACTTCTGGCATTTTCTGTTTATATGGTAGTGAGGAATCAAACTCAGGGCTTCATGCATGCTAGGCAAGCATTCTACCACTAAACCACATTTCTAACCCATTGGTACAATTTATTAAAAGAACACCCTCCCCAGCCCAATCTTCCACCACACTACTGAAAAAGTCTGGAGCTCTGGCTTAATTAGGTAGAGTGCCAACTGTGAGCAAAAAAACCTCATGGGGCTGGGAAGGTGGCTCAGTGTTAGAGTGCTTGCCTTGCATACATGAGGCCCTGGGTTCGGTTCCTCAGCACCACATAAGCAAAAAGAAAAAAGCCGGAAGTGGCGCTGTGGCTCGAGTGGTAGAGTGCTTGCCGGGAGCTGAAGAGCTGAGGGACAGCGCCCAGGCCCAGAGTTCAGGCCCCACGACCACCCCCCCCAAAATATAAAATTAAAAAAAAAAAAAACTCATGGACAGCCCCCAGGCCAAGTTCAAGACCCAGAATTGGGATTGTGTGTGTGTGTGCACACGCACGCACACACGCTACAGGCTAGACCAAGATGGAAGAGGCATAGTTTTTTTGTTTTCCCTTCCCCTCCACATATACCAATATCATATATAGTGAAAGCAGGGGTTATACCATGGGGAAGGGACATACAAAACAACAAAGACATAATCTTATAAATATACTAAAAACAATCGCATGAAAGATCTCTTTCGTGGGGCTCTGAGCTCTAGGCCTGGGAGCTGTCCCTGAGCAATTCAGCTCAAGGCTCATGGAAGAGGCATAGTTTTAAGTGTGGGTCAATTCCCATTTTCCTTCCTCTTCAAATTAGAACGCCTATGAAAAATATCTAGTATCTCTATAATGAGTTCATCAAATATTTCCCTGATCTAGAACAAGGCAATTTGCTCACACATCCAAATCAGTTGTACATCACCAATCCTGTTCCACTAGCTGTGAGGCCAAAATACTATGGTGGGACTTTTTTTTAAGTACCTTTTGGTATTTAGCTCATTCCTTTTTTTTATTGTGAAAATACTGTACAGAGGGGTTACAATTACATGGACAAGGTAATGAGCACATTTCTTTTTTTTTTTTTTGGGTCCGGTTGTGGGACCTGAACTCTGGGTCTGGGCGCTGTCCCTCAGCTCTTCAGCTCAAGGCAAACGCTCTACCACTTGAGCCACAGCGCCACTTCCGGCTTTTTTCTTTTTGCTTATGTGGTGCTGAGGAATCGAACCCAAGGCCTTGAGCATGCAACTCTACCACTGAGCCACCTTTCCAGCCCCTGAGCACATTTCTTATCAAGCATTGTAGCCTCCTCCTTTGCTTCTCCTTCCCATCCTCTCCCCCCGCCCCCCAGCCCATTTCTTTTACCTCTCCTTCTTCCCCTTCATCATCATCTTCGTCTTCTTCCCCTTCATCCTCATCCCCTTCTTCATCAATGTCTTCCAATCCTTCCTCCTCTTCATCATCATCATCATCCTCTTCTCCTTCTCCCTCCTCATCATCCATGTCAGGAACCTTTAAAAGACCAAGGTCCTTCAAGGCCTGACTTCTCCACGGTGAGGCCAGCAGCACCGGGGGAAAGGCAGGCGCGGCTCACCAGGTAGTACTGCAATGGGTTTGGCCAGATGTCGTCCTTGATGACCTCTCCCAACTCGTCTGCACCAGCGTCTGAGTGGTCAGCGAACCAAGTGAAGAAGCTCTCTGGTTCCTCATGCTGCCGCTTCCTGCTGGCTTTATTCTGCGTTTGACTGGAGCGCTTTGTCAAATCCTAAATTAAAAAATGGGAACTTTATCAGCTCTCTGGGACATCTGAACTCCTACAATTTAAAAATATCCCTCTAGAAAAGAAAAAACATATACCAGTAGCACAATATTTTAATTATTAGAACAAAACAACATGCATAGTGGGGCAAAGTCCCCACAAATGTTTAATAAAAGGAATTACCAACCAAATTAGACTTCAACAAACAGCATTAGCAGTTTTGGGCGGTGGCAGCACACCTGCAACCCCAGCCCTGTGGCTGTGGACCAGTCAGAAGCCCAACCCAAAAATCAAAACAAAAGAAAAAAAGGTAAGAGATGGGTGTGGTGGCAAACTTCTATAGTCCTAACTACTAGAGATTGAGGTAAGAGGGTTGCCATCTGAGAATTTCCCAGTACCCAGCAAAGCATTGAGACCCTATCTGAAAAATGAAAGATGGGACTGTTGGCTCACACCTGTAATCCTACTAAGGAGGGTGAGATCTGAGGATCACAGTTCAAACTCAGCCCAGCCAGGAAAGTCTGTGAGACTCATATCCAATTAACCACTGAAAACTGGAAGTGGCACTGTGGCTCAAGTGATAGAGCACTCATCTTGAGCTAACTAGCTCAGGGATAAGTGCCCAGGCCCAAAGTTCAAGTCCCATGAAGGAAGGAAGGAAGGAAGGAAGGAAGGAAGGAAGGAAGGAAGGAAGGAAGGAAGGGAGGAAGGGAGGA